AAAAAATACATTTCAAAGAAGCGGGCCCAAGCAGTAGAGAATGGCTCAAGGGCCATTATTACAAAAGAAAGTACACTCCAAAGAGTTTGGAGCGGGTCCCGAGCAGAGGCAAGGCTCAAAATGCTCAAAAGGCTTTTTTTTTTAATTGGCAAATATTCAAATTTGGCAGAAACTTTAAAAATATATATACCCAGTGGTCCAATAATCCCTTTCTTAAGCATCAGTACTAATAAAGTGAATTAAAAAAATTTGACAGAGGGTGCATTGCAATGTAGTTAGTGAAAAACTGAAAGCAATAGTAGTTCCTACAAGATATTAGTTATATAAATTACAATAGTTATTTTAGATGGAATATAATTAAGCATAAAAACTGTGCTTTTAAAACATTTTCAGTGATGCGGGGAAATGTCTGTAAAGCAAGCTTAACTGAGAAAGGCAAGCCAGACAGAAGAACAGGCAGAAACGGGCGGTAGGAAGACACACCAAATGCTAGTCCTTTTCTCTGACTGGTTGGGATTAGGAAATCTGTATTGACTTTGTAATGGGTTTTGTTTCTGTTTTTTCATTTTCTCTACAATGGGAATGTTTTACTACTATAATTTGTTTAAAACAAGATGCATTTTTCAAAATTAATCAGCGTGTGGAACGGTGGAAGTACGCCAGCATCCCTGCTCTACCCTAACCGGGAGGGCGATGCACTGCAGGCCTCTGCCCTCCAGCCACACGCCGACAGCCTCCACCCTCAGAGCAGGACTGAACCGGCCCTCTGCCCAGCACACCTGAGGGGCCCCTGGACACTCTACCTGCCCATGTGTCTGCTACCTGGCTTGCCACACACGCCCTTATCCAAGGACCCCCACAGGCTCCCTCCTCCTGACCGCCCCTGACTTGTGGTCTCCCAGGCCTGGTGTGCCTGTCCTGGTGCGGGAGGTCATAGCTGTGACATGTAGAAGTGACCCTGCTTTTCCTCCTGTCTCTTCGAAAGCATCGGAACAAAACCTGTGTGACTCTGGGCTTCACCACTGAATCAGGATAATAAAAAACGTAGAGAGAATTCAGAGCAGAGCCAAAAAGACAGAGCAACTTATGAGGAACGGACTGTCTGACGGCCTCTGCCATTTACTGAGCCCCTACGAGAGGTTTCCTGACCGTGATGCACACCAGCACCAGGCAGGACAACTCATTTCACAGGTGAGGGAACTGAGGTCACACAGGTCGTGGCCCTTGTCAGAGTCACGTGACTTGTAAGAATTCAAATGCAGGTGTGTCTGTGGCCACATAAGAAATCTCAGGGGACAGAGAACAGCTGTCATCCATTCTGTTGGGACAGAGAGAGGAATGCGCCCCCCGAGGGGGTTGAGCTGCTCTCTGGGCCTAAGGAAAAGATCCCGCCCCAGCACAGTGCGCTGCCCACTCTGGAAGGGCCTGGAGGCCGCCGCTGCCCACCACCCTTCTCCGAGCTCGCACACGGCAGAGAAACACTCTTCCTGGCTTTCCCACGGCCTCTAGGATTACGGCCCCCCTTCTGCGTCAGCTGTTAAATCAATATACTGGCCAACTTATTGGGGTGCCAAGGTGGAATTTTCTGCTGCGGGTCTCTGCTCCCACACAGGGAATCTTATTCTTTAGTTCTAAACACAGGAGCAGTATTTTCCTGAAGGAATAGGTTATGGCCGTTCCATGTATTTATTTTATTCTTATGTGTGCTTTTTCAAGACACGTTAACAAGTGTATATTTGTGGGGGTTTTTTGTTTTTCTTTTTAAGTAAAGGTCTGTTTTGCAAATAATAGTAATAATAATAATAATGAAGTAATCACTTTAAGGAAAATAAAGGTAATTAAGAAATGGTTCAGACTTCCAGAAGATCGTCTGAGAGCTTTGCAGTCCTATATAAGTGCATTTAGTGGAAAGAATACCACAAATTCAGTCGTTCCGTTCGTCAGCGTGCCCAGTGGGGACGAGTTCTCTCTCTCTCTCTCTCTCTCTCTCTCTCTCTCTTTCTCTCTCTCTCTTCCCCACCCCACCCCTCCTCCCCCCGGAGAAGCTACTGCATATGCAGAAAGCAAGCTGTGTTCCAGAGCTGCCCATGAATGCAAACAGTAGGTCATTTTAAGATAATGGCCAGTAATTCCCCTTTGAGGCAAGGACGAAGGCCAGGGCCTGCTCTGGGGACAGGACATTTGCAGAACAGGACAGCAGCATTCTACATGCTCCATTCCTTCCATTGTCACCGAGTCCCCCCACCACCCAAACTAACAAGGAATGAAACAATTCTTATTCCACATACGCTGATGGGCTGGTGAAAAAGCATATAGCTAGAGCTATTAAACTCATTCGTCATATCCATCAAAATCCTACGAAGAGGTGAACTTTCTTCCTATAGCTCTTAGTTTTTTAATAAGTTTCTTTGTTCACCATGAGAGTGACTATCCAGTGAGTGCCTGCTAGATGCAAAGCATGAAATATGAAAAGAGCTATATGTTTTTAAACTAACACGTCATGTTTCAGTTATCATCAAACCCTCCAACCTCTGTTAAATCAAAGAAAGCAACGCCTTTAAACAACTCCTACAAACAGTAATTGCTGTTCCCTCCACCGCAAGCCTTCTGAGTAACTTTCCATATCCTGTGGGATTCTTAGATGCTGTGTGTGGCCTGCTTTCTCCACCTCCTTCAGCATTGGGTCTCTGGGATAAAGGATATTCGCCACATTCCCAATTTAAAGGCCCCAAGTCTTTAAACCCTAGAATGGGAGGCTATAACCCGGGGTTCTCAGTCTAGCCTAGCAGTCCAGGGACAGAACTGGATTTCACTAGAATTAGCTTCCCTTGTCATTGTATGTATCGCACTGTGTGCATTTCAAAGCATTATTCTGAAAAGGGGATGTAGGCTTCCTCAGCCCTTCCAAGTAGCCCGTGACATAACAAAACGCTCAGGGAAGTCTTGGGGGATTGGGTTAAAAATCCTAACAAAGCACAATCAACTTCCAAGGCTTACAACAGGCTCCAAGGAGTCTGTAGGCAAACACAGGCTGTTTTGCGGGGGAAGGCGGGGAGAGGGTGGTAGGCACCCTTCAGTGCTGTCAGATGGCACAAAGCAGGTGGGAGCCCCACAGCGGATCTGTGAATTGCATAGGGGACATCACCCTTGACGCTCCTGTGTTCTATGAGAACTCATAATCTGATCTTAAAATCCAGGGGCACTTAGAGATAAAATAGGCTCTCTCCTGAGCTCCTAAAATTCCTTTACTCACTTTGTTCCAAATTACCAAGGGAAAATAATGGCGAGAATCACAAAAATGGGATAAATACATTTAGCTTTTCATGGTACCTTACAGGGTCTTATATTAATGGGGGGGAAAAAAACCACTTGGATGTGGAATACCCACTTACCAAATCTGGTGCATCTGAGACTTAATTGACTAATTGGTTTATTTACTAAAAGAACAAAACAGTGTGCGTTTGAGACTGGAAATTGCCTGTAGGATAGGCTGTTTCCTAATGCCACCGACAGCCGGAATGTTCCCTTTGCTCCTTTGAGCTTTGCACTCACATAATCAAAACTTGACGACAGACGCAGGCCTCCTTTTTCTATAAACACGTAGGTAAAATCATCTCACAACTTTACCCAGGAAGGCTAACAGAAACATGACTTAAAGGAAGATACCTACAAAAAGGGGCTATTTTTGTTTTAACAGAGGCTTAAAAAAAATGCACTTGAAGTCATTTTACAAGTTCACTTGAGATATATACAATACGCAGAGAACGCCATGTATTAAAATGTTAAAGCAAGCAGTGTCCAAGACAAGTGTAAACTAGTTCCCAACATTTATTCTGAAAGTCACAAAACATTCAAGCTTCAAGAGTCTCTTCCCAGCTTCCAAAATATACCCCCCACTTGTGTGCTTTGCAAAACGTACCCCACATTCTGAAGAATAGTCTGTTATTTTAATGTCCTCAACACCCGGCTTTTTTGAAACACACACACACACACACACACACACACACACACACACACACACACATATAAGATTGTACTCAAGCTATTCCAGATTTACAAAGAATATTTGATTTAATTGCTATGAAATATGAACATAATTAAAAGGGTGAAAAGAACACAAGGGATAGCATTTTGGGTTTATAAACTCAATTTCTGCTCATATAGCTGAGAGCAGAGAACATTAAATCCCCAAGTTTAAAATTACTTTCTTTGACAGTTATATTCCAGCACACTTTAATCATGGAAGTCAAAGAAAGAAAAATCTCTATAAGGTGAAAGTCTTTGATACATGACTGTTTAATACCTATTATTGCACACACCTTGAAAAGCACAACATACCTTGAGAAATAAAAACTGAACAGAACTTCTGAAACACAGTTTACCTGGTGGGTGTTAATCAAATCCTCTAACAGCAACATTTCAAATCACAAAAGTACCACACGAAGGAGGAATTTTGAAAACGCCCTGGCCCAATTCTGGGCAAACTTCCATTTTCACGAGCTTTCCAAGTAACTCAAACCCTTGATGAAAACACAACCAAACGCTTCTCACCTATACGCAGCCAAACGAAAGGCACACAACTACTCCAAACTCCCTTTTGCCTCCTTTCAGGATCTGTTTTTGCTGTGGATTTTTCTCATTTCTGCAAACATCACCAAGGCATGGTAGCCTTGAGGATATTTTAACAGACTATGACTTCATACACTCTATGCTGCTGACTTGCACTGGCCATGAAATTGGTTTCACTTCCAGGAGTGAGGCCACATTTCGGCTTCCACCTGTATGGATTTACCTCCACCTCCACCTCTACACATTACCTACTAGACACATTTGCAAGAAAAACACGGCAGACCTTGCACCCCAGAACACAGAGAACTGACAGGCCGTTCCTCTCCAAGTCCCACAAGCCAAACATCATTGGGAAGAAAGTTTACTCCACAGCGTGCAGAGAAGTGGATATTTTATTAAAGACAAATACATAACCGAGCAAACTGAATTACCACCGTTTGAGTTATGAGAACGCTCCGTTCTCAGCATGAAGGATCCAAAACTCAGTCAACATTGGCATGTCCCATGACCAACGGCCACTCGCCAGGTACCTCTTCACTTCCACTGGGACTGGCTGGCATCCGCGATGCTAAGGAGTTATTGCAGAGCACCCAAAAGGTCAACATTGACAAGCCCATCTTTGTCTGCGCCCCTGCCCTCCAACCTCTCTGAGTTGGCTGCCGGTTCCAACCACCACGAGGGATAGTTAAAGAATATGAAAATTCAGACGCGTTCCGAAAAGCCTTTGCAAAAAGTCATCCACGGCACTCAAGAGTGAATTTAGAAACCCCGAATTTTTTCTGAGTTTGAAGTTTTTAAGCCTTGCGGATGGTTGGAGTAGGAAAAAGGAAATTTACTAGGCAGCGCAGAGGAAATCTTGTTGTCCTCTATTGTGGCAGTGGGGGTGTTGCCCAATCCTAACTTATCTGCCTTGATAAAGGAAACCAAAGAAAAGAGTAACAAGCACAAGATTTTGTCAAACAAAAAGGAACCCTTTCCTTACCTTAATAGTGCTGGCCATAATGCAATCAAGTTTATTGATCGTTAATAAATGTTAATAATAATTATTGCTTCTCTCTGACCAGAAAGCAGTTTTGATGAGGTTGTTTAGAGCGGATGAGATTGTGCTAAGTCTGGGAAATGAAGTCAGCCAATGGCAGGAAGAGGTTTCTATTGGTCCTGGCCGCCCAGCCCGAAGAAACAGGATATTTGGGAGTGGAGAGATAAGAGACCCTGAAAACAATGTTGTTTTTCTTGATGATATGCAGCCAGGGGATCTTTTTTTTTTTTTTAATAAAAAAAAATTAAAAGAAAAAAAAAAGGCATCCATTGCCTGGGACAGGCCTGCCACAGCAGGTGTGACCCACTGCGCCGCCGTGTGACACGCCGCCCCGAGGCAGGATGCAGACGTGGCGGGGCTCCGCATGGCTGCGCGTGGGCTGCCAGCGCCTTGGGACCCAGGCGTTGGGGGCACCCTGCGGACGGTGCCAGGCCTTCTCAGCCCCCACGTCCCTGGACCTGCCACACGACGGGGACACAGCATGGGAGCCCACTCGCTGCTCCTTTCCCGAGAGGAAGCTCTGCACGTGGGACTTAGTCCAGGTGACTAGAGGGCGACGCTTCATAAGAGCCGTTTGCTTGCTGATTTTTAACAACCTGCCTTTATTCAACCTCTGAAGTGGGCGTCCCAGATGGTTTCATATTTTTTCCTTCCAAACACGTCATTTTTATTCGCTCCACAATAAATCCATGGCAAACACAAAGACCCTAGCATTAAAGTGACAGAGAAAAATATAGAAGAAAATAGCCCTGCCCAATCCTTGTTTCCAAGTATTTATTTAAAATCCAAATAACTACAATGATTACAAGCACTTTATAATGTCAGTGAGCCGGTCCCACTCTGCCGAGAGTCAGCGTTGCAGGAGGCCTGTCCAGGACTCTTGGCTGCACGGAGATGCCATGTGAAGGCCTAATTAAGGGCGGCAGAAGCCAGGCTGGAGGTTCAGGGCCACACGTCTGTTTTCCACTCGAAGGAAGTACAGCTCATGTAGGCCTGAACATTCCTTAGAGGATTTCGGGCCTTTAATTACTCATTTTCAGGAAATTACTTGTTCTCTGGAAGAAACAACATTTTGCTTTGAATCGAGCTACATGAAAGTTGGACCAGTAAAGAGGCGTGGTCTCACCAGGGGACCCGCTGAACACAATGGACCCTCTCCTGAGTCACCCGGTGACTCTTGGTTTCGGAGTGGATACTCAGTGAATTGACTTCACTCAGCTCTCAGGCCTGCATATGGCAGAGCTCCATCAACTGGCCGGAGTTCTGTGTCTTTTATGGACCCCTGACTGCCCCCGCCTTGTGCTTCAGATAGAAGAAGGGGGAGAGAGGAGAAAGAGGAGGAGGGAGGGGAGGAAGGAGAAGGAGAAAGACAGATGGAAAGACAGAAAGAAACAAAGAAAAACAAAAGAAAGAGAAAACGTAAGAAACCTTGTTCTGTGTAAAAATCAGCACCTGACAAATTCTTAGCATCCACGTTTTGAAGGGATGTTGATTTCCGCTCTTTTCATCTCCAAACAATGAATGAGATGGTGGCGGGCTGATTAAAATTTTTGTTTCCCCTAAAATTTCAAAGGACTGAGTTGTTTTATCTGGGCAGGTTCCACTTGGAGAAGCTGAGAAAAACGCTCTCTCTCCTCCTCCAAAATGCCTTGCTTTCTGCTCTCCTCAGAAGCATGAATTTTAAATACGAACTGTAGTGCCCTAATCAGCAGTGCTCTGCTATAGATTTCCCAAAAAAGCAGCCTTAAATAGGATGACTCCTTGGCTGACAAAGTCGCCATGGAAGGGAATTCTGTGTGGTCCTATCTCACCACTGACTCCTGATTTCCAAGCCTTTGGTCTGGGCGCAGGGGAGGCCTCACCTCATGGAGATGGAACTCTTCTTTGAGGGTCTGCCCTGAACCCCTTGGTTCCTGCCTAATGCAAGTCAAACAGCGAACAGGGAAAATGTTTAACTCTCCATTTGGAAATAATTTCAAACTTACAGAAAAGTTACAAGATAATACAAAGCATTCCTAACATCCATCACCCAGTTACTCCAACAGTTGGTAATTTACATAATTTGCCTTGCTTTATCTCGTCTCTTAATTATGTGAAATGCATGCATATAAATCCTATTACAAAATTTTAGGCAAGCAAATCTTCCTCATTTCTAATGATACAATGTTTGATTCATTCATATCATCTTTGAAGAGAATAATTCCTGATGTCTAGAATGGTGTATCATCCAAGCCCAGTATTCTCTGATATTTAATGCAAAGTTCTTTAAAAACGAACAAACAAAAAAATCGGATTGGCTATTGATAGTAGAAGGCATACCTTATTCATTAGAATACAGAAGTGAGAAACCATTTCCCAAACACCATTCTCAGAGGAAATCATCTCAAGATACAGCCATCACTTTATCATCCCCTAACGGCTGCCTGAGGCCTCCGCTAACAAATGGCCTCAGCACCAGATCACTCAGCAGTGAAAGGACTGGCTGCCCTTCCAACTAGATGCCACCCTTTCCTTTTGGGAAGCCACCCTTCAGGTCACCAGGCAGATTCACCTCGGGGGCGGTCACAGATGGCCTCCACCTGGGGGCCGTCCTGCCGTGAATCAGTCAGGACAGACTCCTTTTCCACCCTCCTTGGGACACAGTAAACAGCATCCTGGGCCAGTACGGCCTTCCTAGCATCTGTGTGAATAGCTGCACATTTCCATGTTATACGTGCCCACTGTGGAACCGTTACCCACGAATGTACCAAAGCCTTTGGTAAACCTGCTCAATCTTACCCCAAATAAAAAGAAGGAAATGATGTATAACAGACCATACATTTTCCGTAGCGATAACAGGAACACCGCCATGTATGTGTCCTGAAACCACGCCTCCCCCATTTTCTAAAGAGTCAACAAATTCTCATCCTTGCTGTCTTACCAGCTTCTCCACAGGGGGACCAACGAGGAAGGTCAAGAGCAATATAATCGATAACGTTGTAAATATTTCTTAGGGGGCCAGATGGACTCATGTCTTGTTAGGGAGACCACTTCATAGTCGGGGTAGAGACCTGACCACCGCACTGTATTTCTGAAGCTGATGTTGAATAATAATGTATATCAACTATAATTATATATACATATAGTCACNGAAATGAAAATTATGAATTGATCTCACACATAAATGCAGATGCAAAAGTCCTGAACAAAAAGCCCAGAAAAGCAAATCCAACAGCATATAAAACAGAATAATATATACTATGATCCAGCTGGGTTTATTCTAAGAAAGAAAGATTACTTTAATCAATGTAAATATTTAATTTATATTGTAAAAAAAGAAAAATCATATGATAATCTTGAAAAAATGAGCCAAAAGCATTTGATAAAATCCAGTACTAATTCATGATAAAATTTCTCAGTAAATTAAAAATAAAAGGAAACTGTATCAATCTCATAAAGGGCATCTACCAAACCCTACAGTAAATCATGTACTTTAATGGTGAAACACTAAAATCTAACCCTTTGAAGTCAGGAGAAAAGACAAAGAGCCTTATCACTCTTGTCACAAATTGTACTGGAGGTCCTAGTCAGTACATAGGGCAAGGAAACAAAATAAAATGCTAAGCAATTGGGGGGGAAATAGAGAAAACATTATTAGCAAATAATATAGATTTTTACATTAAAAAATCCAAGAAAATTTAGAAATAAATCATTAAAATTAATGAGTTTAAGTTGTTTGCTAGCTATAGGTCAATATAGAAAACTCAATTTTATTTCTATAATATCATCAACAATAGAGAATAAATTTTAAAATGATACAAATTTCATTAGCATCAAAAATATCTTAAAATATGGGAATAAATCTAATATAAGATGTATAGGACCTGTACCCAGAAAACTACCAACTATTATTGAAAGAAGACCAAAATAAGTGAATGGCTAAACCATATTCATGGATTGAAAGACTTAATACTGTAGAGATGTCAATTCTCTTGAAGTTGATCAGCAGGTTCAAGATAGATCCTATTAAAATTACAACAAGATTTTTGTACAACTTGACAAATTGATTCTCAAATTTATATGGAAATGCACAGGGTCAAAAACAGATAGGGTCAGGATGCTCTTAAGGAAGAATGCGACAGAGCAACTTGTTCTCCCAGATGTTATTACAAAGGCACAGTGATTAGGTCAGAGCGGTATTCATGCAGATATAAACAAACAAAACAATGGAAACAGAAAGACAGCCTGGAAATAGATTCATGCATAGATGGACACATGATTTTTGGCAAAGGTGGCACACAAGGCAGTGAAGAAACAAAATCTTAGAAAAATAGTGCCGGGAAATGGGATATCCATATGGAAAAAAGAAATGACAACTGGCTCATACAATCACAAAAATCAATTCCAGGTAAATTGTATATAATAACGTGAGAGGCAAATCTATAAAGTTTTTGGAACATAACACAGAAGAATACCTTCATGGCTTTGGGACAAGGAAAGAGTTTGTAAACAAGGCACAAAACACTATAAAGGGAAAGACTGATAAATTGAACTATATTATAATTTAAAAAACAATTGAAGAACTTTTTTTCATCAAAAGACACTATTAAGAGAATAAAATGGCAANCCCCCCATCAACCCCGAGAGATGTGGGAGAACTTGAATTTCCCCCTCTGTGACTTCCACAGAGATGGGGGTGGTGGAGGAGAACCGCAGGGCGAGGCTTTGTTACCGCGAGTCCCGAAAACGAAAGTCCTAGTGTGTAAAGGTATTGTTATCATTTTACCTGAAA